CCCCCCCCCCCCCACCGCCCAGCTCTTCCCCTCCTGAGCGCTACCTGGAAGCATTCCCTAACCTCAACCTTCATCCCCCTCGCTTTCCCTCCCAGGTGGAACTTGGCTTAGGAAATACAAAGAAGTCTGATGCTTCTGACCCATGGGAGATTCCTGCCTCTCGTCAGGAAGCTCCACTCACTGCCCATTCATGGTCAAAGTTAAGGGAAGATACAAGGTTTCTCCACGTCCCTCCACGTCTCCACTTTTAAATGAAAAGAACTCAGCAGAACCTCTAAGTGAGTGGTGTCTGGATTCTTATCTCAGCTCGACCATTTAAACTGTCATCAGAAAGGCAAGTATTAAATTTCTCAGTGCCTCAGTTTCCTTGCTTGTTAAATGGTGATAACAACAGAGCCATCTCTTGGGATTATGTGGACTAAATGCAATAATATTAAGCTGGCACTCAAGAGTTTGATAAATAAATAAATGAAACAGAAATTACTATTATTGAAAGTAAAATTTAGAATTTTAAAATTGAATTTAAGCAAAGAAAGGGTGGGAACCAGGGGACAGGACTCACCTCCCCTCCGCCAGTGGATTGCCTCTAAAGACAAAGGGTGGGAGTGAGTCTCCCCCCAACACCTCCTGTCCCTTGGCCTGTGGATTCTGCCTTTCAGTCAAGCTTGGTCCTAACTGGATCAACAGCCCAGGTTCTGTTCTGTTGGTGCCTGCAAATGACCTCTGATGGAAACAGGCCCTCATTCCTTGGAACTGCTACCCAGACATACAGCTGCTAAGCAGGAGACCCCCACAGCTTGGTTTCCCCCAGTCCTGGGCCCACTCCAGAGACAAAAGGGTTCACAAGGGGACCCTAGTGTTGTCACATAGCACCTGCAAGATCCATGGAAACCTCCCATGCACATCATGAACCTCCTCCCCTGAACATCCCCCTCACCGTGGGTGGGGAAGGATGGCAGACGTGTGGCCCAGGGTCCCTGATTAACACAGCAATGAAGGAAACTCACCTTATGAGTGATGGGACAAATGAGAACCGTTCTGGCTTGGCATCAGTTGTATCTTTACTTGCCGGATCCCCAGCTCCCTGCTCCCCAACACTGCCCTGATCGTCTGCCATCTGGGAGGAGAAAAAAACAAACCAGAAAATTGGTATTCAGTAGTATCACTGGCCTTATGATATTTTAAATGATGTCATTAGGTGACAGTTTTTCATTAAGCCTGGGTGTGAGCAGGTTTGCATATTTAAGCTCCAGGGTTATTGTACCAGGCATCATTCCAGAAACTGGATACACAGCAGCAAAGAAAACAAAGTCCTTGCCCTCAGGGAGTTTCTAATCCAGCATCCATGATTTTGTTACATGTTCACTGTGTACAAGAAACTATGGAAAGTCTGTCAAGTTTGTAACAATAAACCTCCCCCTAAATTCCTGACAGGTCATAAGGCGATCATTCCTTGGGTGGTATCGTGGTATCGCTCAAATATGGGTCAAAAACAGCAACAGCCTGGGGCATGAGCTCTCTTTCTGTTTCTGATGATTTTACATGGCTCTACTCAAAACAGATTTCCAGCAAATTATTTTCCTATTCAAGACTCTTCAAGAGATCCACATTATCTAAAAGTTCACATCTAGGGCTGGCTGGTTAGCTCAGTTGTTAAGAGCATGGTGTTGTAACACCAAGGACAATTCCTCTGTGCCAGCTGCCAAAAAAATAAATCAATAAATGAAGGCAATTTCAAAGTTCACATCTAAACCCATTTCCTAGGATTTTAAGGCCCTTCATCACCTTGTACGGGAGTCAGCACACAATGGCCCAGCACCTGTTTTTGTAAGTAGAGTTCTAGTGGAACACAGCCATGCCCATTCTATTTACATATTGTCTATGGCTGTCTTCTCTGACAAGCTGAGTTGAGTGATTATGTCCTACAAAGCCAAAAATATTTACTACCTGGCCCTTTACCTATCCCTCCCCATCTTCATTCCTTGCACAGCCCTATACTTGTCTTATTTATTTGCACTCTGATAACTGCTTGGCTCCCATAGGACAATGGAAATTCATCTTGGCAGAAGCGCCTGGCACACAGAAGGTACTTACTAAATAAACATTAAGTGAATGGATGGCAGGAAGAAATGAATGCTCCAAGGTAAAGGAATTAGCTAAAAGTGATGCAGCTGGTCTGAGGCAGAGCCAGTACTAGAATCATTTCTCCTAAATCAAGTCCTGTTTCCTTCCCTGTGAAGGGATCAGCTTTCAGCAACAAAGAGAAACCTCTCCAGACTCCAATTCCAGGTCTCAAACTCTGAGCAACTTTACCAAGTGGGCTGCAGTTGTCAGGTGCAGTTCTGTACTCCTGTTAGGGCTCACCCAGGGATGCTTATACTTGGTTGGAAAATGAAAAGGCATCTATTTTATGGAACATCTTGGGTCCCAGGGCACAACAAGTAATGACTTTGGAGGTGGGGAGGAGAAGGAATCCAGCTCAGGGGGAGGCGTCCAAGAAGGCAAAGCAATGACCTAGTGGCTTTGAGCTGCAAGTGGCATCACGGTGTAACCATCCAGCTTCCTTGAGGTTGAGCTGGGCAGAGGAGACAGAAACGAGAGGGAGGGCAGGTGCTACGGCCCGGTCTCTACAACGACTGTAAGAAGTCAGATGGCCTTGTTTCTCAGCGCATCATGAGCCTTCCTACCATCGCCACCAACATGTTTCTGGTTGGGAGGCAGATTTTTCAGATTAGGACCCAAAATTTCTCAAAAATACAGATAACCCCATCCACAGAAGAGATATGAATAAGGCTGGGCTCACAGGAAACACTGAATAGTTTTAATTTTATCTCCTTCATATAAACTTAGTTACCTCTCAAATTAGATTGCTATTACCAAAGCACTCACTTAAATATTTTCGAAATTAAAAGGTTGAAGTTACATAAAATCCACCAAGAACAGACACTAATTTCAACATGTGGTATTAAGCCTTGGCCTTTTTGCTAAAGTTAATCTTAAAGGCTAAATCTAGGATGGATGATGTTAAAACAATGTGGCCACTATTAAAAAAAAAAGAAATAAAGAAAGAAGGAAAGAGGAGACCAGCATGACAGCAGAATAGGAGGCTCCAGCCCACATCCTTCCACAGAGACACCAATTTTGGCAACTACCTACAGAAGAGAATACCCTTGTAGGAGTATATTGAGAGGTTCCAGCACCCTGGTGGAGCAAAACACCCAAGAGCAGATGCACTGAAGAGCAGTTTCACTTTACGCACAGCAGCTCTCCCCCAGGCAGCACAGCTCAGCACCAAGAGAGGCCTCCTCTGCTCACAATTCTCCCACAGGGGAAAGAAAGGGTGAAGTGAGCATTCGGCTTTCCCAAACTTATGGGAACCTGCCCAGGAAGCTCACTTCTGTCTCACCCCACTCAGAACACTGAGGAAACCAGATAGCTTAATCATCTGGGAGCAGCTAAGATCAGGGAGAAGGGGTTAGAGCACACAGCAATGAGTGTGCAGTTCACCAAAGACGACTGTGGATCCTTCTAACCAGCTCACAGACTCCACCAAGAGGCCCTCCCAGGAACCCCACAGGATTACTGGCCTGTGAACCCCTCAAACTAGCAGATGAGCACCTCAGTGCATGGCACCCTGCATGCACCCACAGATGGTACTCAGATCTCAACAGCAGGTGTGGATCTTAGCAGCCAGCTTGACTCTGTTGGATTGGGGAAGGCATATAACCTTGATAATGTCAGGGCAGCGCTCTAGGAAAAATAAACACTAGGCTCTCAGCACAAGGCCTGGCTTTGCAGGATTGAGAAAAAGCACACAATCCTTAAAACTTCCTTTCTAAGGGGGAACAAGAAGTGTGGAGTGGGCACATCCATAGAAAAGATCTGAGAGATCCCCCAAATCTCTAGCTGAGCTCACTGGGGAAGGTCCTTCTCTCTCAAATCCAGTCAATAAAGATTGAAGAGGTGACGGCTTCTTCAGATGCAAAGACACAACGTAAGGCTTCAAGGTACACAAACAATCAAGGAAATATGACACTGTTAAAGGAACAAAATAAAGTTCCAGAAGCTGACCCCATAGAAATGGAGATCTATGAAATACCTGACAAAGAACTCAAAATAATCATTTTAAAGAAGCTCAGTTAGCAACAGAAAACAGAGAGAAAAGGAAATCAGGAAAACAGTACATGAACAAAATTAGAAAGTCGACAAAGAGATATAAATCATAAAAAAAAGAACCAAACAGAAATTTTGGAGCTGAAGAAAACAATGTCTGAACTGAAAATTCAACAGACAGCTTCAACAGCAGACTTGATCAGGTAGAAGAAAGAATCATAGAACTTGATGACAGATCTTTTGAAATTATCCAGCCAGAGGAAGAAAAACCATAACAAAAACAAACCAAAAAAAAAAAAAAAACAAGGATGAAAATGAATGAAGAAAGTCTACAGGAGTTATGGAACATGATCAAGTGAACCAATATATGCAGTATAGGTATCCAAGAACAAAAAAAACAGGGAAAAGAAAGAGGCAGAAAACTTATTTAAAGAAATTATGACAGAAAACTTTCCAAATCTGTAGAGGGAAATAAACATCCAGATTCATGAAACCCAAAGAACCCCAAATAGATTGAGCATAAAGAGATCTTCACTGAGATATATTATAATCAAACTTAAAAGTTGGGGACAAGGAGAAAACTTTAAAAGTTGCAAGAGAAAAGTAATTTGTCACATACAAAGGATTGTTCATAAGACCATCTGCAAACTTCTCACCAGAAATCTTGCAGGCCCAGAGAGAGTGTCCTGAAGGAGAAAAACTGCCAACCAAGAATATTACACCTGGCAAAGGTGTTCTTCAAAAACAAAGGAGAGAAAATGACTTTCCCAGACAAACAAAAGATGAGGGGCTTCATCACCAGTAGACCTGCCTTACAAGAAATGCTAAAGGGAGTTCTTCAAGTTGAAATAAGGGAAGCTAATTAGTAACATGAAAACATACCAAAGTATAAACTCACTGATAAAGGTAAGTATATAGTCAAATTCAGAATATTCAAATACTATATTGTTGGTGTGTAAGTCACTTTTAATTCTACTATAAAAGTTAAAAGACAAAATTATTAAAAATATAGCTTCAAAAACTATAGCTACAGTTGTTAATGGATACACAGTATAAAAACATATAAACTGTGACATTAATAACACAAAGTGGGAGGAGGGAATGAAAGTGTAGAGTTTTTGCATGTGATTGAGGTTGTTGCTATGATCTGAACATTTGCGTCCCCCCAAAATTCACATGTTGAAGCCTAACCACCCATGTGACAGTATTAGGAGGTGGGGTCTTTGGGATGTGATTAGGTCACGAGGGCAAAGCTTTCATGAATGGGATTAGCGCCCTTATACAAGGAGCCTGACAGCTGTCTTATGTCTTTCCACCATGTAAGAACACAGTGAGAAGATGTCATCTATAAACCAGGAAATGAGCCTTCAGTAGACACCAAATCTGTTGGTACCTTGATTTTGGACTACTTTCTAGCCTCCAGAACTATGAGAAATAAATTTCTGTTGTTCATAAGCTACCCAGTCTAGTATTTTGTTATAGCAGCCTAAATGTACTAAGACAATTGTTATCAACTTAAAACAGACTGTTGTAACTATAAGGTGTTTAATGTAAGCCTGTTGGTAATCATAAAGAAAAAGCTATAGTAGATATACAAAAAATAAAGACAAAAGGAAAAAAGCATACCACTACAAAAAAAAATCATCAAATCACAAAAGAAGACAGCAAGAGAAGAAGAAACAAAGAAACTATAAAACAGAAAAGAATTACAAAATGGCAATAGTCATTCCCTACCTATCAGTAATTACCCTAAATTTAAACAGATTAAATTCTACAATCAAAATACATACAGTGACTGAATGGATAAAAAACAAGATCCAAGTATATGCTGCCTACAAGTCACTCACTTTAGATTTAAGAACATACCTATGCTGAAAGTGAAGGGATAGAAAAATAGATTCCACGCAAATGGTAACCAAAAGAGAGAAGTGCCTGTACTTATATCAGATAAAAGATACTTTAAATCAAAACTATCTCAAGAGACAAAGAAGGCCACTCCATAATGATAAGTGGTCAATTCATTAAGAGGATATAACAATTGTAAATATATATGCATCCAACATCAGAGCACCTAAATATATAAAGCAAATATTAACAGAACTGCAGAAAGAAATAGACATAATAGTAGGGAATAAATAATAGTAGGAAACTTCAATACCTCACTTTCAGCAATGGATAGAACACCCACACAGAAAATTAATTAGGAAACAGTGGACTTGAACAAAACTGTAGACCAAATGGACCTAACAGACATACACAGATCATTTCTTCCAACAGCAGCAGAATATAGACTCTTCTCAGGTGCACATGGAACACTCTCTAGCATGGATCATATATTAGGCAACAAAACAATCTCAACAAATTTAAAAATATTTAAATCATATCATTTATCTTTTCTGACCACAATGTATGAAACTAGAAATCAACAACAGGAGGGAAATTGGAGAGTCCACAAATATATAGAAAATTAAGCAACACACTCCTGAACAACCAATGGGTCCAAGTATTGGTGAGGATGTGGCAACAAGGGAACCCTTGTACATTGTTGGTAAGAATTCAAATTGGTACAGCCATTATGGAAAACAGTATGGAGGTTTCTCAAAAAATTAAAAATAGATCTACCATATGATTCAGCAATCCTAATTCTGGGTGTACATATATCCAAAGTAATTGAAATCAGAATCTCAAAGAGATATCTTCTCTCCCTTGTTCAATGCAGCCAAGACATGGAAACAATCAAAATGTCTGATAATGGACAAATGGATAAAGAAAATGTGGTTATATACACACAATGATATATTATTCAGCCTTTAAAAAGAAGTAAATCTTGCCATTTGTGACAACATGGATGAACCTGGAGGGCATTATGCTAAGCAAAATAAGCCAGACATAGGAAGACAAATACTGCATGATCTCACTTATAAGTGAAAAAGAATCAAACTCATAGAAGCAGAGAATAGAATGGTTGTCACCAGGGGTTGGGGGAAGAAGAAAACGAGGAGGTGATGGTCAAAAGGCACAAAGTTTCGGTTATGCAAGATGAATAAGTTCAGGAGATCTACTATACAGCATATGCCTATGGCCAACAATATCATATTATATACTTAAAATTTGCTAAAAGGGCAGATCTTATGTTAAGTGTTCTTACCACAGACACAGACACACACACACACACACACACACACACACACACACACAGAGTAGTAATAGTAAAGGTGGTGGGAGGAAACTTTAGTAGATGATAGATATGTTGACAATGGTAACGATTTTATGAGTATATACTTATCCCTAAACTCAAGATGTATACATTATATATGTATAGCTTTTTATGTGTTAATTATACCTCAATAAAGCAGTTTAAAAAAAAATGCTAGACCCTAACCAAAATGCTCCTGAGAAACCCAAACACTTGTTTTAATATTGTTGGGACCACTGAAAAGAATTTTGGGGACTCTTCTTTATTCATTCAGTGACTATTTACTGGAAGTCCAATGTATAGGCCCTGTGCTAAAAGTCATGGATACAACTGTGAGCAAACTGACCTGGTCCTGCCATGTTGGGGAATGGACACTGATAAAAGGGTGGCACAAATGTTGAACTGCAACTGTGATGCGTAGCATGAGGGCAAGCAATTTGTGGCCATACCAGGGGACCTCGATGAGCCTCAAAGGAATTAAGGAAAGTTCTCAGGGAAGGAAATGTCTGACCTCAGATTTGCAAAGAGGAAGCAGAGGGAGGGGATGACACAACGCAGACAGAGTGAACCGTGCACTCTCTAAACATCAGAAATGTCCCATCGAAGGATGGGTACGGCTTAAACTCCTCATCCTTGCCGGCTACAGAGATGTAAAATTCAGGCTGATTTCTATCACTCAGTGGTGGGAGGCTCTGCAGAGCTTTCCCTCCAAACACTACGTCTTCCTTTCAAATATTAGGTCTTCTGTCTGAAACCTCCAGCATCTCTCTGGGCTGATGTTAAGCGCTGTCTAGAGTGCAGGAAGTGTCCCTTCTAACAACCTAAGTCAGTGGTGGTGGGACGTGACTCTTCTAAATCTGTAGGGCTAAGCATTCAGTCGCTTTCTTATTTCTATGAGGCTGGACTTAATTTTTAGAAACACCCAAAGGGCAATTATAGCCCAGGGTTGTGACCAAATAGGGATGCCTGATCTTGGTGACATCATTTCAGGTAAGTCAAGACTTGGTTTGGACCCCTTATTTCCTTTCAGCCTCAGAGCCCACCAAGAAAGTCCAGATCTATCTCAGTTCTGCCATGCTTTCTAGAGAGGGCACGCCTGGCATTTTTTTCTTGTATCTGTCCCCTTCTTATGGTCCCGCCTCCAAAGAGCAGTCATTGAAGGGATATCGCTTATCCCATGTTTAAATTCTCTTTAAATAAATTAATATATGATGCACACAAAGCACTCACAATGCCAAGCACATATTCAGTCTCAATTCGTTATTGTTATTATTAGCCTTACTATTATCCACAGGACTATAACCGTTTGCAGATTGAGAATTTATTTTAATCATCCCCCCCACTTTTTTCCCCCAATCACAGAAGTGTCAGGTACATGGCGGGCACCCAATAAATATTTCTTTATAAACACAACTGAACAGTATTTTTAAATCCTTCAGTGGTTGGAATAAACTGCTGAACAAACCACAGAACCAAAGAGACCCAGGAGGGTGGCTGAGAGCCCAGATGTGGCCAACAGCAGATTTGGGGTTGAATCAGCTCTTCTGATTATTCATGGGACCTTGAAAAAGTATTCAACCTCTCTGTGCCTCAGTTTCCTCACACGCAAAGTGGGAAAAAGTGCCTAAATCACAGGTGGTGGTGAGGATGAATGAAACAATGCAGATAAAACGCTAGGCACAGTGTGGTACGCTCTAAATATTCAATAAATATCCACTATTATCACCACTATGTGCAAGACTAAGAGTCATTCAACTGTCAACTTTCCCCCATATTTTAAAACAGCTTTTAAATATGTCCATATTTTAAACAGCTTTTGTGGGGAGTGCAAAAAATTCCTAGTGATTATTTCTAAACATGCTTAAAAAGTATCCACACGTTGGAGCAACTGGTACCTAGCTGGGTAGGAAATCGCCTCCCAGCTATTGCCTGAACTTTTTTTTTTTTTTTAATGAGGGAGGAAATGGACTAATTGCAGATGCTTCCTCAATAAAAGTGACATCACACAATTTGTGCTCAACTTCTTGCCCAAATAAAGACAATCTCCCTAAAGGGTTCAAAGAGAAGCCGCCCTCATGACCTCTGCTTCTCATCTCTGGCAGGGAGGAAAGGTGGCCCTGCTGGGCCCTCAAGAGCTTCACTGTGTCACCCGAGACTCACAGCACGGCCAGGAGACTGGAGCCTTTATCCCTATCTTGCAGAAGAAACTTCGATTTCTGCAGAGAAGTTAAGTAAGTCGCCCAAAGCCCCACAGCTTACAGGTAGCTGAAGATGGATTGTGAATCTAGGCCAGGGTGGTACCCAGAATGATGGTCACAGAAGAAGGAAATAGCCTGTAGGTAAACAGAAGTCACGGCCATGTAAGCCCAGGAGTTGGAAGGAAAAGACCTCGGAATGACACACCCAGAACCACCCACAAGTAATTTTACTGCCCATAAACTGCAAAGCTGAGTATAATCATGAAAGGTTGCAAGGTCGCCTGCAGCCCAAGAGTCCACAAACTAAGAGTCTAAATTTTTTTTTCACTTCTTCAAGGTACCTCCAAGAGCCCTGAAACAAGGGTACCCCAACAATGATGACAACAGCTCAAACATATTGAGGCACGGCTATAATCACCTCCATTCGTCCCGGCAGCAACAGCCCGCGATCACCGTAATTCCCATTTAACAGACAGGCACATAGAAGGCCAAGGTCCCACCTCTGGCAAGCAAGTGCGCAGGGACCCGGGCCTGTCCGACAAGGGAGCCCTTGTGTTAATCGCTGTGCCAGATAACGAGCCCTCCTTCCCTCTAAATCCATTCCTTTTTCTCTTCCAAATCCCTAATAGTACGCGGTGTCCCAAGGCCCCTGGCTAGGAGGGAAGGGAGGACAAGCCGAGCAAAGCAAGCGGTGATCGGGGCGCAAAGAGCCCTCTCGCCAAAGTTTCAGCGCCAGCCAGCAGGGCCATTCCACCCCACCCAACCCGGCTCTCCCAGACTGCGCTCGCTGGGGGCGGACGGGATGCGGGGGAGCCCGGCAGGAAAGGAAGGAGGGCGGGAAAAGGAGGGAGCAAGCGCGCGGCGGACGTGCGGGAGAGGCGCAAGCTGAGGCGGGGGCCCGAAGTTACCGTTCCCACCGCGGCTGGGCGGCCCGAACTGGCGGCAGCTTCCGTCCCTCTTCAGCGAGGGTCTGGGACTACTCCAGTGAAAACGAAAGTAAAAGTCCCAGCGCTGCAGGGGGCGGAGCCTCCCAGGGCCACAAGCGGGGTCGCAAAGGGCTGCGTGCACCGCCCCTGATTCTGGACAGTGAGCCCCCCAGAATTGGCCGCGCTCACCACTCCGGGAGAGCGCGCCCTGCAAAGCTGACAGCGCGCAAAGTGGCCCTGGCTGCCGCGCGTCGTCCCCGGAGAGCGCCCCCTGCAAAGTTGGACGCACGCAAAGTGGCCCGGGCCGCCGCGCGTCTTCTCCGGAGAGCGCCCCCTGCAAAGTCGGCCTCACGCACTGGCCCGGGCCTCCGCGCGTCTTCCCCGTAGAGCACCCTCTGCAACGTTGGCCGCGCGTTCTGCAAAGTTGGTCTCACGCGAAGTGGCCCAGACCGCCGCGCGTCTTCCCCGAAGAGCACCCCCTGCAAAGTTGGCCGCGCGTTCTGCAAAGTTGGCCTCACGAAAAGTGGCCCGGGCCGCCGCGCGCGTCGGTCCCGGGAGAGCGCGCCCTGCAAAGTTGGCCGCGCGTTCTGCAAAGTTGGCCTCACGAAAAGTGGCCCGGGCCGCCGCGCGCGTCGGTCCCGGGAGAGCGCGCCCTGCAAAGTTGGCCGCGCGCACAGGAGAGCATCCTGGCCAAAGTCTGCGGAGATCCAAGGAAGCCCGCCGCCGTGCGCACGAGCCTCGGGAGAGCGCACTCTACAAAACTGGCTGCGGCCAGTGACCCAAAGAACGTCCTCTGCAGACTTCACGGGGGCGCGCGGTGATGGCGTGCTCGTCAGCACATCCCGGCTTCCCTGGCCCCCAGTCTAGACCTCGACCTGGACTTCCGCACCCACTCGAGGACCCAGTTCCCATTGCCAGAAGATTCTTCCCCAGCTCGACCCGCCCACCGCCACCCCCCTAACCCCAGTCTGTCCAGTTCGCGTCCCCGGCGGGGTGGGGGATCCGCGCCTGCATCTGCACGCCTGACCTTCTCCCAAGGCCCAGCCCCCTCCGGCCAGCTGTGGTATCCGCTGGGCTCCTCTGGTCTCCCAGATGTTGCTTCCATTCGCAGGGGCGCCCGCCTTCGCGCGTGGGCGTAGGACACTAACTCAGCTTTCTCTTAGACACGTTATCACTTCGCAACCCAGCCAGGTTGCAGCGATGTCGCCCGGGAATATTTAAGAGCTATTTGTGGAGCGCCCCCATGTGTCAGCATTGGGTATGTGGCCGTGAGTTAGTCTAATGGGAGAGACAGTGCACTTCCACCCATCCCAGTTCACTCAGACCCTTACATCCCCACAACCCTCCAACAGGGGCTTCCATCAGAGGCCTCCAAAGCCTTTCTCCCCAAAGTTCCTCAGGGGAGCACCTAATCAACTCAGTCATACTGCGGTTTAAATATCTAAGAAGAAATGGTAATTTCATTCATGCAAATATACTAGCTTTTAAGAACCACCAATGCTTTGAGTGAAAGGAGTTCGAGCTGCATGGTGTGACATCAGGCAAGAACCACGTGTTATCTTCTTGTTTGTTTGTTTGTTCTCTTTCCCCTGGGACTGAGATTTCAGTGTTCTCCCTAAAATCTCACCAGGTCAAGATACTTTCTTGGTCTGAAGAAAGACTGGCTCAGGCAGGTATAAAGGAATACCTATAACTGATATAATTGATTAATTTCTGTGGAAATCCTGAATTCCTGAATATTTTTTGCAGGCAGTTACATGATTTCTAATATGGCTGCCTTACTCATTATTTAATACCCGTGTTCCTGGGATGGGACTAAACTAAGCCATTTTAGACCTAAAGATAATATGCTTTATAAAGGAATTTGATTGTGAACCACTTGAAAAATGAAGTATCCTATTAGTAATGCAAATAAGTTTTGCTGATTTATCCAATTTGTAAATTTAGGATTTTCCAAGTTATTCCTGAAATATATGTTAAAGCTGGAAGGGGCCTTAAAAATTAATCTCTGCTCGTTTTATAGATAAGGAATCTGAGACTCAGAGATGTCCACATCACAAGCTTGCTAGTGGCAGAACCAGGATCAGGTTGCATAGAAAAAATAACGAATTTTCCATCCAGAAGAAGGATCTACCATAAATTATGTTATGCAAATGTTATAATGTATTGATATACAGGAATTCATAGCTGGCTCAAATGGAGAGGTGGTTTGAAGAGGGAAACTTTCTTTTCTCAGGTCTTTATTGTAGGCTGGCATGAGGAACTCCAGTTACTGCTCTGAGGTTGGATTATCACAATATCAACAAGTAGAATCATGGAAATATCAAAGGGAAAAAAACATTTCAAACTTTTCCCTCTGTAATAATTGTACTGATATTTTGGATCCAAAAGATACACTCTTCTGAATGTATCTCCTGTGTCTCTCCAGCCTTGGGCCACATGATTGTTTTATGCTTCCTTTCTATGCTTACATGGTTACAGCATGAACCTTCCCTCTCTCCCACAGAAAAATTCCCCAACTCCCTCCATTTGGATGGTTTCGCAAGGGCTTCTCTCACGGGTGCTCCTGGGTTGGTCCCTCTGGACCTTCCCTCAAGCCCTCTCCTCTGGTCACCAGGCTGCTGGTGATCTCCCACCCCCACCCTACTGGGCACAGCACCCCAAGGAGTGCCACTAGTGATTGCATCTCCAATTTTCCACAGGACAGCTCAGGCCAGACTATGACTATAAAGACAGGACACCACCAAGGGATGTCCCAGGATTAACGGAGATGCCACTCTCAACATCCACAGGTGGCATGAGTGGGAAGCTTAGGGTCCAGGCAGAATCCCTTTCTTCCCTGAAAGGAGAAATTTATGTTGTACTTGTTATTAATTGATTGACTCTTGACTCCAAATTCACGCTTTTTGTTGTTCTGTGAAAATTTAACTGGACCCTTTAAGTAGTTTTCCTTTGTCTGATGTTAAGGTTTGACGGTAGAGGGCGCTGGAGAGAAGTTGCAAGGTGGGAGGAGTTTTCTTCCTGGTTCTGGTGTGTCCGGTGTTCTCATGCCGAGGCAGTGGCTTCTCAGTACCAGATTCCCATAGGCATGCCTGGTGGCCAGAGCACACGCAGCCAGCACCTTCCCCTGCTGCCCCCTTCAGGTGGTCTTGTAGCATAGGCCTCTATTGAGACACTTCCTTGTTAACCGTTATCTTTGGCATCTAGAGGGTGGATTTGCAGAAAGTTCTGAAAGACAAATTTCTAGCAAGTTCATTAGCTCATCACCACAGTGATTTCTCTGCCATATAGTGAGCTACAGCCATGCTTTCTCCAGCAAGGTTTGGATCTCAGCCCTGGGGGAAGGGGGAGGGGAGGGGATCTTCCTCGAGCCCCATCTCAGCTCTAGTGGCATGTTATGTTATGTTGTGGGCTGAATTGTTGTATGTTATGTTGCGGGCTGAACTGTGTCCCTCAAAGTTCATATGTTGAAGTATTAACCCCCAGTACCTCAGAATGTGACTGTATTTGGAGACAGGGTCTTTAAAGAGCTAAAATGATGTCACTAGCACAGGCTAATCCAATGTGAGTAGTGTCCTTATAAGAAGAGGAGGTTAGGACACAGATATACACAGAGGGAAGACCATGTAAAGACACGGGGAGAAGATGGCCATCTACAAGCCAAAGAAATCAACACAACTGATACTTTGATCTTGGTCTTCTGTCCTGCAGAACTATGAGAAAATAAATTTCTGTTTAAGCCACATAGCTTGTGATATTTTGTTACAGCAGCTCTGGCAAACTAATACATATGTTAGTTGCAATTATATTATACTTGCAGTTGCTATATTTTTTAGAGTTCTCTTTACTTCTTACTAGCCAATCTCTTGATATTTTAATTCCCTGTAATAGTTTATAATTTGTTATTATTAAGTTTTCCCTGTTCAGATTATTGTGTGATTTCTCTCTCCTGACCAGACCCTGATGGATACACAGGTGTGTCTGCAGTCCAATGGCTGCTTCATTTCTGATTCAGTGGCCTTCAGCAGTGGGAGTATCCATTCTTGACTCAGTGGGAGACCTCCACACCACCCACAGGGTGTGTTCTGGTCTCTTGGCCCACGAAAAGGCAACCCCAACAGTTGGATATTATATTCACACTTGACTAAGATTCCACTGCAGAGCGTTGAAACCTAGGCCAGTGGGACTGAAATGATTCCTAATCCTTTCTTCTGCCTTTCTCTCTCCAAGAGAACTCAGATCTGGTTGCTCCTGATGTCCTGTGACAACCCCTCAGACCAAGTGTTGGCAAACTATTCATGCAGGCCGCCTGTGGCCTGTTTTTGTACAGCACACAAGCTAAGGATGGTTTTTACATTTTTAAAGCGTTGTTAAAAAAAAGAAGAAAAAGATGTAACAAAGATTGATTATATGAGCTGCAAGGCCTAAAATATTGACAATCTGACTTTTCACAAAAAAAGTTTGCACACCCCTGTCTTAGACCAAAAAACACAATCCCATCTCCAAAGTAAACAATAACTTTCAACTAAAAAGTGGTCTCAAACCTGACTTAGGTTTGAGGAGAAGCAAATATTG